TCGACGATGTCCCCTTCTGGGGCATCTACTGACAATTAGCAGGATACCGGTTGGATCAAAGGTGCCTGCTAACCCATCTACTGCTCTCAGCGGAGATTAAGTAAATTTATCATCTGGAAGGTGTGACGGACGACGGAATGTGTGAGGAGCACATTGACTGGATCCAATATGGAGGAATCTGTTGTAATTAAGGGAGTAACATGACTGCATTACAATAAACTGTTCACATTAGAATAATGTGCACATGCGCCATGGGATATGATTGGCCTAAATCATCACTCATTGGTATGACATAGTATTTCCCAATAGATTCCTAATGGTATCTATTGGCGCTAGGATCTCTCACATCCTTCCTTTCTCAGTTAGACAAGGACAGATGTTGGAACATCCACTAGTGTGCAGAACCCCCTTATTCATGTATATAGAAGAAGGTCCTGTCACGTAGATAAATTAAGCAATTCATACAATAGGAAATGCAAACAATCTCCATATTATTTACACACTTGAGAATACTACGGAATATCCTCAAGTTTGTCCATTGATCCAAGTCCTAAGAGTATAACTCACGAACTTTACTTCTCTTAAAGCCATAGCTACCCCCTTCCATGGAGGGCAAGACTGAACACCTGTACGCGGTGTCCTCTACGAACCTGGGAGTGAAATATTCTCCCAGAGCCAAGTTCAGTCAAATTTCGCAATATCAAAGAAGTTGGCCCACGAGGCAAAAATCCAAATTACTCCACCACGTCAATCTTTCATTCCCAAAGAGTCCGATTCTCGACTAAGCTTCATCAAGTCTATAAGTACGACATAGTACATCCTCACCCCAATGATCACACCTCTAGTCGACTTTCTCTGGCCTTAGTTGACCGCCAAATACACGCCCACGCCGATATTTATACCCGACGGAGGAAGGAAAGCGTGGCGCACAAATCTGGGAGATAGTTCTTTGGGATGGATGTGAGAGGGATCTGGACAAGTTGACAAGATGATGCGAAGGAAGGATATAACCTCGAAGGGCATGAGATTCCGAATTTCGGCAAGGAGTTTTTCGAATTGGGCTTTGTGCGCGCCAAGACTTCGCTTGCGAGAGTGCAGCTGACACTATTAAAACAAGCAAACGATGGAAGGTGTTGTGGTCCGCCTCCTGGTGGTGTTCTCCGGTATGGTTTGAGTAGCCTGGGCACCTACTCCATTTGGGAAGGAGATATCTCTGACCATATTTCGCGCGGAGAAAAGTTGAAAGATGATGGAGGCATGTTTGGATAACTCAGGGTTTTTGAGACGTTCCTCTGGGTGGGTATTCACGGATGAGGGTTGACTTGGGGTGAAGAAAAAGCCACCATAACTTCGCAGTGGTACTTGCAAATGAAATCCGAGGCATGAGTGCTCTTCCTTTATGATGAATCATCTATTCTGTACTTTTCTTTGATATTGTGTCATAGTTAGATAGCTGCATACGCAATTAAAATCTGATGCAAAAAAAAGAAAAAAAAAACCTCCTTCCATACCTTCATCCTAACGGTACGTCATTCCAGCTCAGCATAGCCTTTCAATAGAATCTTCTGTTCTTTCGGAGTTGTTTTGATTTTCGTGATTTTTCGTTTCAGCTTAATCAGCTGCGCTTTTGGTAGCGATTCACGAGGTTGGAACGAGTTAGGCTGTAGGAAAGATTACAGGGAACCCTGCCGGCTCCGCCTGTCGATGACCCAATGTGGAAAATATAGCTCTAGCTCAGGACAAAATAAACAAAACAGAAACAATATCAAAAAAAAGTACAGAAAAGTACAGAAAAGATGACTCAATTTACAATCAACAACTTTACACTCTAATTTTCAGATTCTTCAATTTTCTAACTCGCTTCACTAGGCGATATTAAATAGAAGCCAAAAAAACTTCAGCCTCTGTACTACATTCTCACTTCAAAAGTTCTTTCTGCGCCTCGTCATCACCTTCGGTCTTCAAAGTGAAAGCGGAATGCGCATTGGAGCTTAACTGAGACCAACTCTCGATGCCATCGTCACGTTCCTTCTCGGAAAATACCAGATACTCTACCACTAGAGATAATTTTCCAAGAATAATCCCGCGAAGAGTCGCTCTATATCAACTCTACACAACATCTTCTTTACTTTTAAAATTAGCCCATTTTCTCCACAGTCCATGATAATGAAGTGAGTATAAGCAGTCTATAAGTATGGCAATGGATATTTGCGCATAGGTTGGTGTTTCTCTCCCGTGCCTACTTTATAGCAGCTAAAGATTGTACTGTCCTTCATTCTAGGCCAGATGATGGCCGACAAGACGAAGAACAACAATACTTCTCATACAAGAGAAAAGGATGAGAATACATAAATTTTGAGATGAGGCCAATGCAGATAGGTCTGATCAGTGCCGAATAGATAAGGGCATAGTGAGTGTAGTCGAAAGTATTATCGAATTAGAGGGGAATTTGAGTCCGCAAATGTACACGTTTGCGGGCGTGGCCCTCAGCGCTAATCAAATAATCTTACTGTATCAATTTTCATTTCTAACATTCAGCCTTAAAGCTGCTTAGACAACTTTATCTGTCTTTATTCATAGATTAAGTAGGGACTTCAATTCTGGTCTAAAGCGTATAAGTTTTCTGTTCGTGTTGGGTCTATTCTCAGCACCTGTCAGTGGTATCCCCTACGAAACTCCAGCTCTCACTGTAGAGTCTGCAGAGCTGAGATTGAGTAACAAAGTCCTCGCTTCGATGAGGAATTCCAATCGATTTCGCGGTCTGTATCGTCCTCATTCCTCAATATATTCCCCAATCACCATTATCATGAAGCCAACCACGATCAGATCAGATGTCAAGGTTAAAGCCCTTCCCGTCACAAACCTTTTATCAAGGAGGAAAAGCCATCCGATGAGTTTCCGGAGCGTACCCAGCACCCAGTACCCGATACGGGGATGGTTGATTGGATCAAGTTGACCTCGAATATTACAAAGAAGGGAGATATGGATGAACATGCGCACCTCATGTGGTCCAGGTGTCTAGGTCTCGCCTGGCTGGAGTTGCAGGTTTTTTGAGACTTTTTCCCGCGCACGCAGTATCCATTGCTACCATTTTTATTATTTTTGGGTAGAAGGTTCCGTGGAAAAGGTGGCCGAATTCCACGGGTAAACACCAAGCTGAATGGCTATCCATCACGACAAATATATCAATGATATTTTAAGAAACATGAGAGACAAGACTGAACACCTGTACGCGGTGTCATCTACGAACCTGAGAGTAAGATATTCTCCCAGAGCCAGGTTCAGTCAAATTCCGCAATACAGAATAAGTTGGCCCTCGAGGCAATAATTCAAAATACTCCACCATGATAAATTTTCACTTCCAACAAGATCGATTTATACCGAAGCCTCATCAAGTCTACAAGAATGATCAAGTACACCCACATTTCAATGAACACACATCTCGTCAACTTTCTCTGGCCTCAGCTGGTCGTAAAATACACGCCCGAGCCGATATTTAAATCTGTAGGAGAAAAAACAGTGTGGCGCGCAAATCTGGGAGATACTTCTTTGGGATGGACGTGAGAGGGACCAGGAAAAGTTTATAAGAAGGTGCAGAGGATGGATACAGTCTCAACGGGCGTAAAATCTTGAAGTTTGGAAAATAGATTTACGAATTGAGCTTTGTGAGCGCCAATACTTCGCTTGCAAGAGTGCAGCTGGCACTCCAAGATGAAGCCAACGAGGGATAGCGCGGTGTTGCGCCTTCTGGTGGTGCTCTCTGTTATATTTCGAGTAATTGGGCGGCTACCCCACTTGGGAACGAGACGCCTCAGACCACATTCGCGCGGAGACTAGTCAATTGATAATAGAGGCATGTCTGAAAAACTCAGGGCTTTTGAGACCTTTCTCTAGTTGGGCATTCGCGGATGAGGGTTGACCTGGAGTGAAGTAGAAGCAGCCATAACTTCGCAGTGGTACTTACAGACAATATCCGAGGGATGAGTGCTTTTCTTGTATATTGAGTAATCTATTGCTTACTTTTTCTCTGATATTGTGTCGTGGCTAGATAGCTGCATACGCAATTAAAATCTGATGCAAAGAAAAGAGGTAAGCAGCACCGTACAAGATGTTGCCTGAGTTAGAAAGGAGCCTAATTTGCTAGATAGTCTATGAATCAAGTAGTACCATAAACATTAACACACTACACTCCAAATAGAGTTATTCTTTACAAAGTACGTATCTTCCAAAAATACCTATACAGGCCCTCATAACATCAATTCAGATAATTTGAAAATTCAACTGTATTTCACATCACTGATGACTCGGAAATTTTACGGCACATGCACAGAGTAGCTCCGTGCACCCAACGGTCTAATCAGACACTCCAGTTTTTAACTTCAATTATTCGAAACCCGACAAGAGCCCAAAGCAGTCTAGCGATTCAAATATGAAGTGAGCATATGGGGCTCAACTCGTATTTATACAGAAGAAAAGTACCCGGAGTCTACAGTCCAAGCTGTCCACGTAGCTACCAATCGCAGAACCCCGAGCACATGATTATGTCCTGCCCTCGATGGTCAAATAGAAGAGGAGAGATCTGGAGACAAGCGAAAGATCGGTCCTACGAAGCTATGCTAAGCAATCCTGGAGATATCAACAGAATAACACAGTGGGTCCTAAATCATGGTTGGATAGAGCAATTCCAGATGACAGAGGCGGTCGAAATGCTGCTGAGGGAAAGGAACAGGTCATGCCTTTCTTGAGGTCGATGAAGCTGATGTGATTGGCTTAGATGGAGGGCACTAAAGTGTGACTGCGCTTCCTAAAGGATACATTATAATAAACATAGAAATAAAGCAGGAGGTTTGGGGGGTTTTCACCAAAAGGTTTCCTCCCATGTAAATTATAAAGTATGATAGACACTTGCATGGGCCCATAGAGCGCCAAATCAAGATAACGAATTCAAATTCAAATTCAAACTTCAATTATTTAATTTTGATAGAATTGAAAGATCCGTGCTACTGCCCAGGTAAAGGTGTCAGTTTCTCCACGATATTGTTGGGATGGCCCCAGGCTCGACGAACATATCTACAAATATCAGCTTGTGCTTGTGATCCAAAAAGATAGCTGACTTGGTGTGACTTCCGCGAGCAGCAAGTTCTCCCTTCGTGTTTGTAAATTCCACCGACGTGAATGCCAATGTCTCCCCAACTGCAAGTTTCTCAATAATAGGCTTAGAAATGGATCACATCCCTTACGCTTGTCGCATTTCGCTATCGCTTTCAAAACATCGCCAGAGTACCCACCCACGTTGTGGAATATCACTGAACAGCTGATAAGCGGATTGTTCGATATGGAATTTAATCGTACCATTCAGATCTGTAGACACGCCAGTGGCATAAAGGCCTCTTGAGGCAACGGCCAGGGAGCCTCCAACATCAACTCAAGGCCATTAGCTAGACGGACTGTAGATGACTGAGCATTGATTACCCATTGATGCAATTACCCCTCCATGTACTGTACTTAGGCGATTCTGTAGATTTTTAGTGCTGTTGATTTTGAGCACTTCACGGATTGTGTCATTAAACTTGCTGTGTGTTCTTTCTTGATGTCTAGCTCAATGTGAACTTCTCCCGGTTTTACTGCAACAAGACGGAGCTGGAATTTCTTTTAGAGTCTGATTGCCTACGACATCATGCGAAATTTAGTGCCACAGGAGACACTAACATGATCTCCAAATAGTCTACAACGTTAAATCAAGTTAGTTTAGCAGATGCAGGTGTAAGAAAATCTTAGTTAATTAGAGATGGTGTACAATGCTTTTGGGATGGCCTGAAAACAACTGTTGGCCTTGGTTTCAGAACCATCCATTAATGGCAGTCAGAATGGGATGGAGGACCTACCTGGATTCTAATCCTGATTCTACTTTGATTGAATTCAAGACCTATTTTCACGTCAATCACTGGTTACAGAGCTACTAGCTACCTTTGAAGGACATTACTAATTGCACAAATCGATGGGCTGTCATTTTCATAGTTGGTCAGACCATACAAACCGATTTAATTCTACACTTACACCTGCCCAGGATCCAGTCACTAGGTCCTGAAAGCGGCTAGATAACCGGCTGGGTTGGTGGAAGTCGATAGGTCCACTCATCGGTAGGTCAGATGTGCAGACACTAGACGACTAGTCAAAGACGGCCAGTAAGGCTGGCTGATCATATCGCAAAGTAATTTTCTGAATCCCTCAATAATATATGTTCTACTAAATAAAATCTATTGCTAATCTTATCTTCATGTCTATCTCAACAACGGCTTCCTTTGAATACCTGGAAAGACTTCCTGGCACCACTTTTCGAAAGCTTTACCGTCAACCATCGACTGCTTTAGCTATCTTCCGGCGCATGCTACCACTGTTAGGTAGGATGGCTTACCATTATCAGAGCTCACCGAACTAAAGGGCTTCGTAGCCAAGACATTTGTAATGGCGATACTTTACATGAACAAGCCCTTCCCACTTTCAGACCTCGATCTTTGGATCCAGCCTAGCAGTCTAAGGTCTATTACCATTCACCTCATGGTAGTCAAAATTTGCTGAGATTTTCACAGGGAAAGGGAGAAATGCCTATCTCTTCTCACTAGGTTACACATTGTAACCATTACAGCTGCATCCAAGGAAGCTCCTCAAACTGTCAAATTGACAGATAATTTTAGCTCATCCCTGCGAATAGCTTTAACTGGGGGAGGAGAGCATCAATCTTTTGGTACACCAGTCAATGATCCGAATATAGAAGGTGTCAGCTTAGATTTTCTGGATGAGCTAGCCAGAAAACAATGGGAACAAATTTTGCATTATGTCGTCAACAGTGTTGGGCACAGCCGAGCTGATACCAGCCAGGCCCCTGCCGAGACTGTGAAACATCTTTTACAGCAAGGAAATCTAGTAACAAAAGGAAGACATAGTGGTGGCGGTATCACAAAGTCAGGATTCTCTTTCTTATTGCAAGAAGTTAACGCGCAGATCTGGACTCTTTTGATTTTGTGGATCGAAAACTCTGAGTCTATGGGCTTGGATTCTATCGAGTTACTCTCCTTTCTCTTCATGCTTGGCTCACTCGAATGTGGACGACCATACAGCGTCTTAGCCCTGACCACAACCCAGAGAGAAATGCTGACTTACCTCTCTACATTTGGGCTCATATATCTACCTCAAGAAAATAACAATATATATTATCCAACTCGCCTTTCGACAACCTTAACCTCTGATTCTAGCGCGCTTCGCAGTGTTTCAGATGGCTTTGATGCTGCTATCAGTGGTAATAGCAGTGGCAACAATAATAGCAAAGGGTTCATAATAATCGAAACTAATTACCGTATATACGCTTACACAAATTCTCCGCTCCAAATCGCCGTGCTTGCCCTTTTCACAAAATTCAGCACGCGTTACCCTAATATGGTTGCCGGAAAAATAACACGTGAGTCCGTCGCAAATGCCATATCTCATGGTATCACATCTGATCAAATTATCTCATTTCTTGGTACTCATGCTCATCCGCAACTCACCAAAAGTGCCGCCATAAAAGGCGCTCCCGTTCTTCCTCCCACTGTCGTTGATCAGATCCGTCTCTGGCAAATTGAAAATGAGCGCATGAAAACGATCGCTGGGTTTTTATTCCGTGATTTTGAAAGTCTAAAAGAGTACGAATCATGTGTGCGCTATGCAAATGAGATTGGGGTTTTGGTGTGGAGGAATGAGGTGAAGAAAATGTTCTTCGTCACTCGCCATGAACAACTGAGAGATTACATAAAGAGTCAAAAATAAGGCTTGATACTTTTCCCAGACATCTTCATCTCTTTAAGTGTGAAAGTTGGCGACAATTCCCTACAACTTCCGTTGTGTGGATACGGATATTAGAAACAAATTTCTAGCTCAATTTCTGGCCAAGGAATATAGTCGACAATTCTTTCTTGGTACGGAAATAGAAATATAGCGACGACAACATATTGTTACCTAATCAACCACTACCTATAAGAAAGTTTTATTCAATCCTTAAGATTCAGGCAACACTCACTCTTGCGAAACCTAGTTCTAATTAGAGCTATCTTTATTGTGACCACTAATTCCTAACAAACTTCAACTTTGAGTTGTAGGGGATAGACATGAAAATTTCTAGCTCAAACTTAAAGCTACAAGGCACGTGGTTCTGACAAGTATATATTTCTCTGATAAAGGGAAAAATCTCACGAAACATACCACACAGTGTCGATGACAACTACATCGCAACATTTAGACGGGCTTATTAAACCAAGCTTCTCTTTGAACGCAGATTACTTGAAATTCAACCTGTTACGGAAAAGTCTGTTAGATACGGGAGTCAGGCATTATGATGTTTGGTGTTGCCATGATAAATTAGTAATCATGATCCATGGTGACGGTTCTATCGGAAATGAAAAATAGTGCAGTTTCCAACACCCCCAGAGCCTGCTGCACTTGGCCGCTTCAAAGTTCATGACGCGATCACTATAACTATGATCTTCTTTGCATTAAATATGACTCAGGCTGGTAAGGATAAAATCTTAATTTATGTCGTTCTGGATAAAACTCGAAAATATCTTCCATACATTAGCACAGGAAATACGTGCCATCTTTATGCTGACTCGTATCAAGAAATTGTAACATGAGAAGAGTCATCTCATTCATCAGATATAGCTAATACCCACCATAACTTATGATCTTGATGACTAGATACACTAATTTTAATGAAATGAGATGAAAAGTGACTAATTGTATTTCTGAAATTTAGTACGATTTCCAATAATCCACTATCAGCTAACATAACTTTTGTTTATCCAAGTAACAAGCAGTATTAACGATTGCCAATATGTGCAAGTATGACTAATTTATCCCTTATTTGTGTTCATTTAGTAGAACGCCTACTACAGCATAGTTGATCAAGCGACCAAACTTATCTGGAACAAACAGTGCGCAGTAAGATGCCCACCATTATGTTATGGATAGTTGCCAATGGAATTAAGGTTGATCTTATTTGTTCATGGGGTGATAAGAAGTAGGGATCTAAAGCTTGTCATCCTTTTAGTCTCGCAGTCTTGGTACCTAACTGAGTGGAAACTTGTGATCTAGACTCCTAGATAGGTATTAGAAGCTTTCATATGGTCAATCTCTTATCCACCCAATCGTAGCAAGTGCAACCCCACCTCATGCCGGGCGAATCCCCGCATTTAAATTATGCTTGAATATTTAAAAGCTTCTATCCGCTTCTTAGGCTCGTCATCACTCATATTTACAGCTCACTTTTCATCTTTCATCCTCAACACCTTCACACCCGAAATAATACAAATTTTGGTACAGAACCAATTATCCATCAAATCCTGAATATTTGCCACAGTGGCGGGCTCACATAAGAGTGTCCTTTCGCAGCTTGGGAACATGCTCAGCAACCTTTCACCGAGGAGTCCTTCACCACCAAGGTCTCCCTCGTACACTGGGCCTAATATGTCTGATAGAAGAAGTTTTGATAGGCGTAGATCGCAGTCCAGGAGAGGATCGGTGAAAAATGAAAGTTACTTTCAAGAACCACGATCCGCTATGAATTCTTGGAATCAAAATTCAACGACTAATTTACACCATCCGAATCATCGGGAGAACGAACGATATGCTCTCGAAGAAGAATACAATCGTACTCACATAAGACCGGAATCCGAAATAGTACCTTCTCAGCCGCTACCTCAATCTCTCGTATATAGAAGGTCGCTTGAAGATAGATGTGATGAGCAGATTTCCACTTCAAAGCTTGGTGATGAAGACTACTACGAGAAACATTCATCTCATCGTCGAGAATCTCCACTATTGCAGCGAGAGCGCCTAGTTCACAGAGATCATGGACGCGCGAGATATTGCTCTCCATCGCCACCAAGGAGAGAGGCATCCACTCGCCCCGTCATCTTGAGGAGGCAAAGTAGTCTAGATATATTTGATCGTAAGCCTCATGCCCGACATGGGGGGAAGGCAATTTACGATCTACCATCTAAATATTCAGACCCAATCTCCCCAGAATTAGCCCTCGTGCCTTTACAGGAAATTAGACATGCTCCAATATCGCATAGGAACGAAAGAGTTTCTCCTAGCGACCGTGAAGCAACGGAATCCCGGTATTATGAAGGTCGAAACTACCATGACTATCCTCAGAGAATTGGTGAGGTAGAACTGTCTTCGCGTCCACGGAGAGAGAGTCGAGCACACATGCGGAGCCATTCTGTTAGGGGCCATGAAAGAAGTAACAGCACAAGCTCGTATGAGAGTAGTTTAACAGAAAGTAGCTTCCAGAGTAAATATCCTAAGCGAGGAAAGACGAGAATGCCAGCAAAGCTAGTCAGCAAGAGGGCCATCATCGATCTTGGTTATCCGTTCAAAGAAGATGTTAGTCTTATTTACCCCTATTAGAATAAATATTGACGAATTCAGGGCGAAGTTATTGTCATAATGAAAGCTCTTGGAAGAGAGCATATCGATGAAGTGATCCAACTTAGTGAAGAGTACAGAGCTAGTGAGAGTAGATATACCCATTCGAATTCTTGTCGAATTCTAATAATATATAGGAACCTTGAATGAACCGCAACAAGAGTTTACTAAAATCTATTCTATTGCTGCACCGTCCGCCCAGTCCAATCTACGAGAAAATGATATTTCTACAATCCGTTCTCAACCTGTATCTCATACGACTGAAAATGTTAAATTTACAACTCATTTGTTATCTTCCCCTACAGCTAGTGTGGGCAGTGAAAATACGTTAACCATAATGCCTTCACGCCCTAAAGATGAACGCAGCATAGCTGCTGAGATCAAAGCGCTTGAAGCAGAACGAGATGCACTTCGATCGCTCCGCAAGGCTGAACAGTTTCGACGTGAAGGCCACGGAGAAGCCGTCTCACCCGAAGTGCGAGAGCGCGATGAGCGTCGTCAAGAAAAAACTCGTGAAGGAAAACGCCACGAAGAAAAGCATCGTGAAGGAAAGCACCGTGAAAGTAAAAATCGCGACGGAAAACATCGTGAAGAAAAACATCGTAGCCGTAGTAAGGAGGCTTCATCTCGGAAGGATCGTAAAGGTAAGGTGAGGTTATCTAAAGAGGAAAAGCACCATCAGACTGTTAAGTTTTGGTGAAGTTAGTATAATGAAGACTAACATTGCTGAAATAGGAATAACACCGCTATTGGCAAGCATGGTTTTTAACACACATAATTAATGACTTCAAGGCAACTAATTGACCATCGAAAATTTAATCTAGATTTGCGCGGCATAGTAGATAATATCATTATGGAAAACGCATCAGGTCGAAATTTATTAACAAGTATTCAAAGGGTGTTGTTTTTTTGTACTGATCCGACTGATCCCTCTTAAAAATTTATGGATTCATGACAAACATGAGGTCACTTCTAGAAGTATGCATCCTAGTCCCAGTGTCCAGCATAGGAAAACAAGAATGGACTAGATCTAGAGTATTTAAACTAACTTAAAACTTCCGTAAACGCACGTATCATATTTTCGAGCAATTGGATAGCACAAGTCTGAAAGATAGTAGAATTTGAGGGGATAGAGGGTCTAATTAATTGAACATCTGCCTGAAACAGCTACCATTTTACGTGATCGGGAGCGCAAAGATTCTTTGGGATTCCCATGACGCTGGAAACTCCTCGCACTTACTTTCAGCCGATTATGTATTTACTCATTTCTCAAATTGGAGAGACGGCTACTTGTAGAGTATTCTCCACTTACAGTAGCTTGACAGAGGGATCGCCCAAAATCCGCCCGCCACTGTGTAATTGGAGGAAATTGAGCTGTCAAAGCGGCTGATCTGCATTGGCATAAGACGTCAGAGTCTTCCAGCACGCAGCTGCTCATGCAATGCATTAGGTCTGGTGTCCTGCTACCAAGCCCTGACTTAGAATCCCTGCGTTCGCGTAGGGGTTTCTCGCTTTTACTAGATCTATTGACGGGTCGGGGGGTAATAAATTCCTAACGAATCTTTTGGCATTTTTGCTGGCCCACGCGTTAATTTATCAGGCGGGGAAAACGTGGAATGCAGGGCTGTACGATCTAGACTTCAAATACACGTCACCATAGGGGCTACAAGGCATGCGACTGGAAACCCTACGACCCGCGTTTTACGAGAACGGACGACGAACCGTCGTTGAGACCGGCCGAGAGGCTTTTGCAGGGAAGAGTTGAGGCTGCGGCATGGTTCAGACTAATGTGCCTGTATCGCTCTGGTTGCGTTTGGTGAGATAAATTCAGAATTATCTTTTGACACGGCAGAGGGAGCCTCGAGAAAGATACGGCAGCTAATATTTAGACTGAGAGGCCCAAATTACAGTCGATCAAGACACATTGTCGAACGTGAGAGTCAAGACGCCCGCAACGGCGGCGAGGGCACCCTTCTCTTGCAGGAGGCGGCGGAAGAGGTCGGGAATCTGGACGAAGGCCTGATGGATATCTAAGTCGCGCCCTATTATAAATAGTGATAAGAGCCGCGTCAGTCTTTAAGGTTGACAACGAGGGTCTAAAGACATGAGATTAGAGGGGGAAATACGTACATGACTCCGGTATGCGCGCGCATGCGCTGAGATTGGACTGGACTTCACCTGTCCAGTCAAAGGTCAGCTTCCACTCCAGAAGAATTTCAATATCTGCACTATTATCGCGCCTGTCAGGATCTGCCATAGAGCCATAGCGGCCAATACAAAGACTTGTTCGCCCGAGGTGCGGAAGAAGTGTTTTACGGGTCCATCGAGCGCTACCAATTGCATCAGTCGCCTCATCTACGTCCCATGCTTCATCACTACCTTCTGCCCTTCGCCTAGCCTGGGCCCGTGAAGGACCGCTGGTCCATTTTTTGCGTGCCTCGGCTGTCGAGTAGCGTATCAACACAAGCCACCAAAATCTTGCACGACGTATGGAGACTTCCAGCCAGCGACCCATGGCATAACAGACGACACCGAGCTCTCTAGTAATGCTACCTTGCACGTCTGTCTCTTTTTCCAGTCCGGCACGAATAAGAAAACTGCCAAGTTCGTACTCTGCAGGTAACGGTAGATGAAGCAGTGAGATCCGACTAACAGTCTGACTTTTAGAGCCGACAATAATCGCTAGACGAGCAGAGAAAATCCCCTGAGGGTGGGAGGCTGTAATGATGTGTCGGATAAATTTTTCATCTACGTTAGCTATCATGGCATCGGAAAGCGCCGATTCATCTGCGTCAATTACGGCAATAGTTGATGACCAGGTAAGTGGTGTAAATGCTTGTAGATAGGTGAGAGGGTTCTCTAGTGGGAGAGGGCTGTGTGATGGTCCTCTTTTGATCGGAATTGTTTCCTGCGCGTAAACTCTCGGTACCAGTGGACGACGAGAGTTAAAGGGGAGGAAAGAATTAATGTTACTAAAAATGCTCTCCGTCGATATACTTCTTTCTTCTTTTTCGGTCGTTGTCGCTCGCAGGAGCATGGCAAATATTTTCTGTTGATGTGTACTCGACTCGCCTATGACGGGCAGTTCTTGGTTCTTTATCCGCTTATTTTCAGCCTGAGCAAGATCTATGTCTGCATGTAACTGCTTCAACTCTCTGCGTAAAAGATCCCGCTTTTTCTTTTTTGCTATGATTGAATCATCTAGTTGGGTATAAGATTTTGCAGCATTATGGTGTTTGCGTTGCATTTTCAAGACCATAGGATCATTCATATTTAGCCAGTCTTCTTGGGGGTTATTCTGATTAGGGAAAGTGCTTAGAGCGGGTAGAGCACTTTCTCCGGAAACTGGAGGACACATGGTCTTTTCGGAGCTTGCATCCTCTGGGGCCTTAAATTTGAGAAAGGAGATCTGTGTAGGGAATTCTTCAGCAAACTCGACCTCCCGAATTTTATTCTCAGAGTTCCTTCTCTCTACTCCAGAGACTGTGGCTCGCTCGGTGCTGGAATCTACGGGTGTCGGGCTCTCTCGATCTGTTAGAGTTAATCGATACCTCTTTTTTGCAGATTCAAGAGAAGGAGCTTTTTGTCTCAAGTTCTGATCGGTGGATTTCGAATAAGAGAGGAGTGCCGATGGTCGATCGTATACTTCGGGGTCTTCACCTATGAGATCTGGTGATCTTGCCTCTAGAGAGTTTTGCTGATCTTGAATTTTCGTCTGCTCTTCAGTCTGAATTTCGAATATATCTATTCCTACTTCTCTATGAGCAATACCTGTGGATAGGGGATCAAACTCTCCTGATCCTTCCGCTCGATTTTTATTCCCCTCAAGTTCTCTATGCTCACTGCTTTTAGTCATGGACGAAGGCAATGGAGACCTTTTCAATCCTTTGCCTAGAAACGGATTTTTTTCTCCCTCCGTCATGTAGGTTGGCATTTCATCCATGGCGCGCATAGTATTCAGGTTGTTCATTCAGGGTACACCTTCGGTAGATGTGGTTGCTCTCTTTGTAGCCTGATCTATTCTTGTTGCAAGATGCTTGAACAAACTGCTTTTTATGTCGGTTTCTGTAAGGGTGAAGTGGCATGGTTTAGCATCGAAATTTTCTGATATGTAATGCTGAGGGTTTGGCTGCTGTGCCTCGTGCGAGCGTAACTGCATATACTAGGGCTAGTTCGTGTTGTCATTGCGAATTATCTATCAAGAGTTTTTGTCTCGCCTTATCAAGGTAGCCCTAAGCACTTCGACAGAGAAACTACGCGTAAACAACGTGATAGATAGGCTTGACAGGACTCGGGCCTCAGTGATTGGTTGTGAAAGTGGAGCTACCCTTTCGGCGATGCACGGACAATTTGGCTCCTCCAATACGAGAATAGAATAATGGACGCTGATTTGGCATTATTCTACAGCTTGAGTCTATGAGTGTCTAGCACGTTGGGCTCTTCTGTGGCCCAGGCCACACCTTTAACAGTGTTCTTATCCCCTTGTGTTACTAAAAAGATATCTTGTAGAACATACATGATGAATAGCCATTCAGCTCAACTTTTACCCGTGGAATTCAGCCACCTCTTCAATGAAACCTACTCAAAAAATGGTAGCAATGGGGACAGCTTGCATGGGAAAAAATCTCAAAAAACCTGAAGCTCTAGCTAGGCGAGGCCTAGACACCTAGACCGTATGAGGTGCGCATGTTCATCTACATCTCCCTTCCTTATGACAGTCGAGGCCGACTTGATCCTGACCACCATCGTCGTTTCGGGTGCTGGGTAAACTCGACATATATTTTGGATGGCTTGTCCTTCATGATCATGTGTTGATGACAAGAAGGACTTCGACTCTACCATCCGATCTGATCGCGGTCAGCAAGTTTATAATGGTTATAGTGATTGAGCAAATTGACGAAGACGATATAGACCGCGAAAGCGATTGGGAATTCTCATCGATTTGAGGACAAAGGTGTTACTAAATGTCCGCTTTGATGACTCTGAAGAATTTGAAGTAAAATCTGAAGATTCATCGGGGTTATAATTAACAGGTGTTCAGGATATTCCACTGTCTGATCGTGGTTAGCTTTATCATAATGTTGCAATGTATTTTGATGAGAGACTATAACGATAAATTTCACAAAATTTTGGGTTTCTTCATCGGACTGAGTCCTCCAATGTTGGCCAATTTTGACTGTAGCTTACAGTGAAAGCTGGAGGTATGTAGGGAACACTGCTCATAGACTTCGAGTTTTCGCGCCCTGTGTGTAGTATATTAACATCACAGTAAATGAGGTATATATTCTTATCATCTTTTCAAGAATCCATCTCTGTTATTAGAAACATTGCAAGTAAAGCTGTTGACTTCCCAGCGGCATCGTTCCGCTCCACACCCGATAGTCATACTTTTTTTTTGCATCAGATTTTAATTGCGTAAGCAGCTGTCTAGCTATGACACAATATCAAAGAAAAGTACATAAAAGAAGACTCAAATTAAAGGAAGAGCACTCATACCTTGGATTTCATTTGCAAGTACCACTTTAAAGTTATGGTAGCTTTTTCTTCACCCCAAGTCAACCCTCATCCGTGAATGTCCACCCAGGGACACGTCTCAAAAACCCTAAGTTACCCAGACATGCCTCCATCATCTTTCAACTTTTCTCCGTGCGAAATATGGTCAGAGGCGTCTCCTTCCCAAGTGGAGACGGGACAGTGTGTTTAAGTGAGGCAAATTACATTCCTGTATTACGAGAAACTGTTCACATCAGAATAGCGAGCACATGGGCCATGAGACGTGATGTAATATTCTCACATATTATCACTGTGTGTTATAATTAACAGGCATTTCACGATTGATTCCGATATATTCTGGGTGGCATCTATTGGCTGTAGGATCTCCGAAAGACTTACTTTCTCATTTAGGCTTGGAAATACGTTGGAACATTTTTATTTTATTTTAAAAAAGTCATTTAATGTGTATGAGTTACGGCCTCAGGGCTCCAAACATGCGATGAGCAAGGCAGTATAGGTGCTTGAACATGAAACACCTACACGTGACATGAATGCCAATCTAGTCTTGGCATTACTCAGCAAACACCCACACCTCATGTATATAGAGCTCGCTGTAGTTTCTCCTATTTCTCCTTCCATAGCCAATCTATCTTACATCCCTAAGGCTGCCTCTCTAACATTTTCATACCTCGTGATTGTATGTAGCTGTATAGCTAAGACACATGACCGGTGCTATTTGTACATAATAAATAGCTCTTTTGACGTTAGAGACACTCATACTCTGTGGCGTCCTTTACCCGGTTGGGTGTATAGAGCAAAGGACCAAGGCTCACTCTGATTAAACATAAAATAATATAAACAAACACTCATACTCTGTGTTTCACTTGCAAATACCATTAATAGGCATGTTTGCTTACACATATAGTCGACCCTCTCCCGTAAGTACCCACTAAAGGGAAATTCAAAACCTTTGATTGTCCAAGAATGCCTTAGTCATCCATGTATACCAACGCCGCGAAAAAGTGGCTGTCATTTGTCGGATTCGAACCAGCGATCTACTGTCTCGAGTGGAATGTGTGTCCAAGCAATCCAGAATCTACTTGGCAGACGGGCAAATTTGATGCACCACTTGTTCATCCAACCACGGCGATATTTTTTTGTCGCCTGCACTCCCAATGTTTGCTTGTCAGGTGGCTTACATACCAAACCTTTGTGTGTCTAGAGAAATAACAAATCAAGGAGTCTGGCTCGAAAGCCTTAAATGATGCATGACTTACTAATACACTCTTATCGCCTACGCGAGTCATCACTACATCACACGTGCACATCAGGATGCACGTAGTGTCTAAACCACGATCATCCCTCGAGACTCAGACATTGATTCACCTCAACTAAAATAATCCACACGGCCATGGGAAGATACCTTCTACTTGTTGGTAATCGTTGCAAGCTTATGGCCGCACGTATTCGATACACATTTATGCCACCAATAAAAGTCATAGTACCTAGCTATGAGATTTATCCCACAAGTGGCCGTTATGCTTCGATCTTTGCGTACTCCCAATATAAAACCTCAATGACTATCAATAGAAGTAATTTAGTCGGTTTAATTTCATCAACATCGATTAAAGACTTCGGCAAGGAGAAAATTCAGGCCTTTTCCGTCTTGTCGAAATCCCAGACTTCCGTTATAAAATCTAGCCCAACAACCCTCCTCAAACCGACTGAACCAGACAACTGCTGCATGGGTGGCTGTGTTAATTGTGTCTGGGATAGATATCACGAAGAAGTTAAGGAATGGACGAATTCCAAAAATAAAACCAACGTCATAATAGAGCACCCACTATCGAGCACAGGTGAAACTTCGATCAAAGAAGAAAATGAACAACAGGGGAATATAGTCTCTAGTAATCATCAATCTGGAGTTCATGCAAAATCTTCAGTCGAAGTCGACCTAGCATCGGAAGATAAAGCGAACTCTATGCCTGATGATTTGAAGGAGTCTGCAGAGGTAACACCATAAATACTAGTATTATAACAAGAAATCAGCTTAACAAACAATGTTCCGATCGGTCTCTGTCGGAATAATTTGTCTAGCTGGATTTATTTGTAGTCGGTGGTTCTTAGATCGCGTTGACTTATTCTTGATTTATGGATTATGCAATTCGGATAACGCTTTATCCGAATGGAAGACACATGGCAATTCTACAAAATCAAGTAACATAATTAGAATCAGCCATGAATACCTATTTTTCTGAACAATAATTCCAACTTCATACAAGAGTAATCTCATAAATTTAGTTGAACTGATAGACTTTTAGTGTATGACCTCTGCTACACCAACAGCCTCAGAGAGTTCATGAAATTTATACGGCCGCTGAAGTCTGATCGTGCCCATAGAGAAAATTAAAGATATGGTAGGTGAATGTTCTGATTTCCAAGAGGAAACTTTAAAGAAATGTCTTCTTGGTACAAAAAATGCGACGTGAGATGATCATCTTCCCAAATACTATTTACAGACCAATTTGACTCAATTGATTGATAACCCGACAGCCTACCCCATGGTACTGCCTAAGCTGCCATTTATCATGACGCGCACTTGTTTTCCTACATCCGGCATACAGCCACCTATAGAAAAAATTAATAACTTTGGCATATTTCTTTCTGCTGAGTGAACATGATCAGCCCCTGAATCAGGTACTCTAGTTGGCTGGCGATAATCGAGTGATGGTAACGACATCATATAACCAGCATAACAGAGGGTAGATTGCTTTATGTTGAAATGGCATAATCAGAAATATTCTCTGTATATTTCAATTGATTTAATAAGTCACTAATTAAGAAATGTTGAAGGAACATGGGAACCAGGAAACCCTTGACGTGTTGAGAATTCAACTGCATGATATTCACCTGAAGCTGTCAAAAGATTATAATTGTACATACCCTGATTCAGAGTATAAATCTGGACATTAGGAAGTTATATTGAGACTTAAGGTGTGTGTGTGTGTTTTTATTGTACTACTTGAGTCTATGATTATCTAGCACATTGGGCTCTCTAACCCAGGCCACACCTTGCACAGTGCTCCTATCCTCTTTTCTTACTTGAAAGATCATTGATATATTCCCCTTGATGAATAGCCAGTCAGCTCAGTGTTTACCCGTGGAATTCAGCCATCTTTTCCATGGAACCTTCTACCCAAAAAAATAAAAACGGTAGCAATGGATACTGCGTGCGCGGGAAAAAGTCTCAAAAAACCTGCAACTCCAGCCAGGCGAGACCTAGACACCTGGACCACATGAGGTGCGCATGTTCATCCATATCTCCCTTCTTTGTAATATTCGAGGTCAACTTGATCCAATCAACCATCCCCGTATCGGGTACTGGGTGCTGGGTACGCTCCGGAAACTCATCGGATGGCTTCTCCTCCATGATCAAGGGTTGGTGACGAGTAGGGCTCCGACCCTACCATCTAATCTGATCGTGGTTAGCTTCATGATAATGGTGATTGGGGAATATGTTGAGAAATGAGGATGATACAGACCGCGAAAGCGATTGGGAATCCTTATCGAAGTGAGGACTTTGTTACTCAATCTCAGCTCTGCAAACTCTACAGTGAGAGCAGGAGGTTTGTTGGGGACACCACTGACAGATGTTGACAATAGTCCCCCTTGAGACTTAAGGTCAAATTTAGTAATCTGTGATACAAAAATATAATACCTATCACACATTCAACAACTCCAACTAGACCTTTGCCAAATCTTCGCAAGGCATAAATATTACACTAAAGAAAGCGACCCCGAAATATTCATTGTTTTATGTGCCCGGGAATCGAGAAATGCATGCACATAGACTCACGAGGATTAACAAAATAAACACCGACATCATAGTCTTCTTCGCCTGGACTTTCTAGTTCCGGAATATTATTGCATAGAACTCTATGAGAGGCGTAGAGTAGGACAATATCTCTAGTCCTAGGCCATTAATTTGAAGTTCTTCAGCTCTGAATAATTTGCGGTGGCTCTGACTTTGAAGAATCATATTCAGAGGGTGAATTGCATTTGAGGTCTTCATAGAAATATAAAAAAGATAATGACTTCATCTACTAAATCTAATGGAATAGGCTCAACTTCATAGATGTGACAAAAAGTGATAATTATCAATCCAGTACAGCTTCAAAATTATTTCGCATTAGTCTATATTTGCCCTTTACGAAGATAATATTAACTACACTACATTCATCTATCATTATGTGGTCCTTCATAATCATAGACTCAGTAGGGACATAAATATAATTCTATTCTATGAATCATCATGTAGATTAACAGATAGTCGCGCTTCCAATTGCGATTGATCACGTAGATTCCTGGAGTAGTACTAGTATTTTATTACGGATTTGATCTACAAGTAAACCATATGAAACTTGAATTTGCCTTTCCAAGGTGTCTAGGTAGGTTATAATTCCAATATTTCTCAAGGTCATCACAGGAATAGGAACTCACATCGTAGGTGTTAGCCTAGCCTTATGGGGAGTCTTTGATCAATAAATTTTACATTAATATCAAAAGCCAAGATAGCTTTGTAGACTGTGACGGAAAAGTCTAGAGAATTGGAAGTATAGTAAGCCACAGCGTTTCTAGACACATTTAACAAGAACCGATCATAAAAAAGGAGCAGTGTAAAGCTCGAAAAGAGGCGACCGTGCGCTAAAGAAGATACCAAAATCATGCAGATTGATAGGTGAAAACTTTCAGAGTCAAGATATAGCAATAGAGACCCGTGGGTCAAGGTATCCGGAGTAGAAATTTAGCTGGGAAAAAAAATTGGTACGGTGATGGTGGGTTGGTTGGGAATCATCTACATTGGCGCGTAGCGTGGGTTAAAAAGGGTGCATGACCGCGTAGATTCGATTGTAAGAGGACTGTAGTGTCCTGGCATTCTTCTAATATCCAATTGAAGACGAATGATGTGGTATCTGTCTCGAAGGGTATTTCAGGTCCGTTTGCTATTATGTCTGAGTCCCAAACATTTGACCAACTTCATCGAGGCTAGAGGAGCAGCGTATCTTAGTCCACCTCGACCCCTAAAATCTTTAATTCTTTGCGCGCTTGTGTAATCTGTCCAATAAGCTCCTTGTGAGCGTGAGTTGCATCGTTGAATGTGAGAACACCATAGCCTAACTTTCCCAATAGATATGCGCCAAAGGAAACCGTAGCCCAGAGTGGCAACTGCTTTTAGTAAGCTTTCAATCTCCTCATAGGTAAAGAAGTGACACACAATGGGAATGATATCTCTTTGAATTATTATGGGCATGGGAATGAGGCCTAGGAACAATGCTAGATATAGCTATTCTCCTCGTTAGCCTTGAGCACTATTAGACGGGGATTTCCTCTTCCTCTCGAACTCGCTTCATCCCAATTAGACTGAGCAGAGACTTGTTCGAGTGTTGGGCTCAAGGTTCTTACCGACGAGGCGAGTAGGCCGATGGAAATAGTTTGCTGGGCGCGGGTCATGATGGATAGCCCCAATTTCAAAGGATCTAGTTGAACGTCATAATCGTCACACGTCTTTCCTTGCCCATATGTGCACAGTGCCGACGGAAATGTCCACTAATTTCACGACGCCGGTCTCAGCAGATCATGTGATGTATCCATAGTCCTGTAACTGTGCGGTGGAGATTCGCTTCCGCTAAGGTGTTCTCCAGACCCGCCTACTATTCTTTAGACAATGTCCATTCTCTTTGCTAGCAAGAGGCATATCTAACAAGTTATGACACATTTTACACAAAAGTTCAAACTCCAAAAGTCCTTGCATGAATTCTATGCAATAGTGAACTTTGTGTCTATCCAGCAGAATCTCCTATCATGATACCATTGGTGTGCAGTCATACACTGAGAAGTGTCCAAATATTTTAGTAATGTTTCTCTTCCCCTTCCCCTCCTAGTTCATAAAAATCCGGAAGTTTCTCGGCTCTATGCTCTTAATTATTCTACTTCGCTGTCTATGGAATCTGAGAAGGAAACTATTCTCAAAACCTGTCAGTGGTGTTCCCTAAAAACCTCCAGCTCTCACTGTAGAATCTGCAGAGCTGAGATTGAGTAAAACCATCCTCACTTCGATGAGGATCTCCAATCGCTTTCGCCGTCTGTATCGTCTTCATCCCTAAGCACACCCCCTATCCCCATTATCATGAAGCTAAGCACGAACAGATCAGATGGCAGGGTCGAAGTCCTTATCTTTGTCATTATTCATAAATAAATTTGGAGGTGAATTCCTGGTTCACCAAGTAGTTATCATTTGATTTTATCATCCTCTCTCAATTTACAACTACACAGGACATGCAGTCTTCCCAGAAGCTAGCATTAGCGTATTTCATATGTTGTTTGAGTGTTCTAATTAAAATCCCTATGTAAAAGGTTATTCATATCGTACTATGCCCACTACAAGTAGGTCTTGTTTTATGTACGTTGAATTCCAATTTTACTCAATGAGGATGTCGCTCACGTCACCCGAAACTCTCAGTATTGATTTCGTATGCAGTCATCGTTCATTGCATTATGTAAAAAACGAAAGAGGGCGAGTTTGTCACCAGATGTCGCTTTAGATGCTTACATAGCAATAACTTGGTTAGGACTACTGGCTTTAGACCTCTAACAGGATAAATATAGCCTATATATAGCTCATAAACGTGGGGCCTTATTCCAGTGAAACCAAAGTGAAGATTAATGCCAAAGTATGACAGTGGTTCTTTATTCGATTTGAATACTTCTTGTATCAGGCTTACACCCTAAATACTATGGGCGGGATACGGCTCTAGGATCCCTAATTACTCATGACAATTTTATTACAAAGTTTGCTCGACAGATCTATAGACAGAAAATATAATCAGGGATTGATTTCAAGAAAGTAAATGCCCTGCGCCTTATCTAATTTCTCGTAATACTTCTCCTTTAGAAACAGTATCTTTTGGAAGGACTTAATCCTGCAGATATGGGCTCTGCGTCTTACAACACCAAATAACCCTAGAAAATTTGAATTTTTTTTCACGTTCTTTTTCTGCCGGGACCTCTCGTCATCTCGACAGCTCTCCGTACATATAGATTCTCTATTTTTTCAGCGCTGACCAAAATCCCGAAAAATTACAGGGAGGCTCCTCTTTTCCTTGAAGGAATTCGCAGTTATGTGGAATAGTTCTTTACACCTTTCTTGGCAATATCTAGATCAAGGTTTACCAGCGCAAATCTTCCACTTAAGCGAGATCACATGACCGAGCTACAAGCCCTAGCCCTAACTAATCCAGCCAGCCACAACATCCAAATTCTCCAGCAATCTTGCGGCGACAACGACAACCGACTTAGTGATCGCTCCCCTCGAAGTAATGGCGATCAAGCACAATCAGCAAATTCCTCACAACCGTACGTTAAAACGTATGAAATCTGTTAGCCTCATCTAACAAATAACAGATTTCCGAAAGGATTGGCAGAGACGTGTTCGAGTTCACTTTGATCAGGTACAAAATAATTATGGTGTAATTAAGAAAAACTGACTAATATGTCAGCCTGGTCGCAAACTTCGACGCCGCAATGCCCGTCAAGCAAAGGCTGCTGTAGTCGCACCAAGGCCTATAGACAAGCTAAGACCTATCGTCAGATGCCCAACAATCAAATACAACCGACGTGTGCGCGCCGGAAGAGGCTTCAGCATAGCTGAATTGAAGGTAGAACCACATACGGTAATTGCTTCTACAAAATTAATAAGACAATAGGAGGCTGGAATACCCCGCAAGCTGGCACCAACTATCGGCATCTCTGTTGACCCCCGAAGACAAAACTTGTCTCAAGAGTCTCTCGCTATCAACGTAGAGAGACTAAAGACCTACCAATCTCGAATGATACTCTTCCCTCGTAAGACTAGTAAACCGAAGAAGGGTGACGCAAGCCAAGAGGAAATAAACAGCGCAAAGAACACTGTATCGAATTTGAGGACTAGCATCCCAATAACCACAGTTTCTGGAGGAGTAAGCGAGATCAAAAAGAGTGAAATGCCTGAGCCTGTCGAAGGCGGCGCGTACAGAAAATTACGGGATGCACGGAGTGAAGCTAGATACTCGGGCAAGAGGGAAAAGCGCGCCAAAGATAAGGCCGATGAAGCAGCTGCCGCTAAGAAGTAGTGATAACAAGATACCGATTGCTCAGCTTTTTCCAAACCGAACCCATATTTCTGATTTCTGCATAAAATTGGTGATGTCTTTGACCATGAAATCATTTAGGGCCGGTCTATTCCTCCCGAGGCATGTGAGAAGAAGACAACATCCATGAAAGGAGTTTGGTTGAGAATTTATCTAATTCCATACTGAAGTCTAATTGATGTGATTAAAGTTATATGGTAATGAATATTGGTATTGTTAATTATTGCTAATAAACCAATTACGGAATTATTTCTACTGGTAGCAATTCTATTTCGCCCGACAGGCCTCACAAGCTCCGTTTCTAATTTGAACTAAATTAGAAAACTCCCAACTACTGCCCTGAAGCAAAATTCACCAGCTCTCCTTATTAAAGAAGCACTTAGTAATGAAAGACATGAGTTTTCAGAAAAAGGAAAATGTCACTCATCACAGCTACTACAACGTGGCCCTGGAAAAGGCAATAAAACCATCAACGAGCCAATTCATCCTACAGTGAATTGTCTTGTAAACATTAAACGTGAATATTGCAGGAAGCCTACCGTTCAACTCACGATCACTACAAAATTTGTATTTAAGTGTCATCTCTCTTAATGGTATGTCAAAACTTGAAGAAATTATACCTAATCGGAAGCTGTAATACATAGTCCAAACTCTGCCCTTATTCACGCTTAACACGAAATCATGTTAATGGATTATAATTTCTTTAACCCGCTGATAAAGTAATGCTGAAGTTGATACTAAGAGTAAAGGGCTGAACAAACGTGTATTGTTACTGCGGTCTCAGCACTCCCTGAAAATGCCGCAGTAAAGCTCTTACTAACGTTCCACTGCTAGGCTCATCTACTCGCTGATATGGAACTACTATCACAGGTGTTGAAAAGAAGCACCCTACAATGTAATTATCACTGACAGAGTACTAATGTGCAAGGGAAGTAGGAAAGTAGGTTCAATAAGGTTCGATTAACTAGCCTTAGAATCTAACGGGAGTAAGTCTTCTATAAGTACCACACTCAATCTCGCTCCGACACGATCAACACAGCTAGCCTGGTACAGCATCTAGAGTATGTTATCCCTGCTACGCACTGGCACATTTACAATAACAGGGGTTATAATATCTCCAAACGCCTCTTTTACTAAATTATTTATTATACATTCAGCCGTTAAGTGGAATGCTGCAAACTTATACAACGACAAGAAAACAGGTAGACTTATGATGAACTCTAGAAAGTCACCTGTCTAAATCCACCAAAACCTTAGCAGGGCCTAGAGTAGCATTGTCACACAAGTAAGAAGCGAGCACATTGGGCTCAATGCTTACTTATACAGAAGGAACGTGCCAGGAGTAGGAAAACCATGCTGCCAATGTGGATATCCGTCCCAAAATATAAAGCACATGGTGATCTCTTGTCCAAGATGAGCAAAGGGACGAGGTGAGTTACTAAGAAAATCGACAACTCGATCTTTCGAAGCTATGGTAAATAACGTCAACGATATGACAAGAATTGCACAGTGGATTCAAAAGGAAGGATGGCTAGAGCAGTTTCGGATGACCGGGGAAATTGAGGCGTTAATTAGGCGAAGAGAGGAAAATGGAAACTCAGGACAAGGACGGAATCGACACTGGCAACAACAGTCTGAGTGCACTTCCTAGGGGTAAGACTATAATCGCGCAGAGTCAAGTCAGACAGCTAAGGGGGTTTTTACCGCGAGGTTTCCTCCTATGTAAATATTAGGGTTCCTAGACACCTGCATGGGCTCATAGGGCGCCAAATCGGGCTAAATGAAATCAATTTCAAAATACATTAAGCCATCTAGCAATGGCACGTGACAAGTGCTTTGTGTACAAGTCCGATGCCTCTTTTGACGTTAGGGACAATCATACTCTGAATTTCATTTGCAAATACCACTATTGTAATAGCTGGCAAAGACGAATTTTTTTCCTTCCAGTGGTGATGGTGTAATCGCTAAGTAAGCTCTGCATATCTGGGATAGCCAAGAAGAATCGCAACCGAATCGAAGTCGAAAGCAGACACATGCGTATCTCCATATGAAGACCTCTCGATCATGCAGCACTTACCATTATCCTCTGAGTCCTCAACCTCTTTCTAACCACAGATCATCTCGTCTCAACGACCGATAAAAGTGTCACCCCAATTGCAAACAGGAGCTTGCCTCCTTAATTACCGGCCATCACCAACTACAAATTTACGACGCTACGTATACCCGCAAGGAGGAAATAAGTCATAATATACAAAGCTCAGCTCATGGTTTATGTGGGACTGTTGTTCTAATGGGGTTATACATCTTGAGGGAGGACAGGGAGCTAGGATGTGGGAAGAACGAGTGATGAGGTCACAATTGGGCATGCTAGGACGCACATTTTTTTGAGTGTTCTCGACTTTTGAGTGTCTTCGGGCGTAGAAGCAACGATTTCGAGCAGTGCAACCGACATTCTAAAAACAGGCAACGATGGAAGGTGTTTTGGTCCGCCTCCTGATAGTCATCTCCCCGAATTAAAGTCTGGGTAGCCTGGACACCTAACTCACTCAAGAAAGGGAGGACTGTGAGGGCACATCTCGCGTTGTAGCCAAAGATTTTTCCTGTTTTCCCCCTTGGTGCATATTAATGGCTGAGGGAAGGGTGAAAGTCCCTCGCACCAAGGTCTCGAGTGGTATCAGCGAACGCACCCACTACATGAGTAGTCCAAATGTCAAACTGAGTTATTGCCGTGCATACTCGTGGGGGATGCTAGTCTTCTCCATGTCATGCTCTTTGAGTGCAGGGCTTGCGCCGGTCACGAATAAATATTCATCCATACATTCTTGGGTTTCAAATGGCTTAGGATGTAGAAACTAGGTATGGAGTTGGGGTTGGATACTCACGGCAGTCTGTCGTTATGGAAGTACTAAAGACATTTTTACCACTACTCGCCTAATTCCAATTTCATTATATATGTAACTTGTAAACAGAGCTTTGCACTTTAGCTTTATTACCTTTCAAACCTTGAGTTCTTGCTTGCTGATACGGTTTAACCGTTGTTTAATCTTAGGTGAATAAATAAGCGCATTTTTGAGGACTCTATTGATAAGACTGTTGGGATCGAAGCAATATCATAGTACAATGAATATGGGCAATGCGTAGCCGTGCGGTAATTATTCGACCTAGGGACAAGGTATAAGCAACGAGATTCATAAAGCGTCCTGAATGTCATAAGTATCTTGTAGCTGTAGTTAGATTTCTCTTCTTCATAGAGTTTATTAGATAGATTTATTCATTACCAACTCGGTCCCGTCACACTTGCCATAATTAGCGTGTCATAACATTGTTGATAACTTCAGCTTTCTGATTTATTTCTTGAAATTTGCAATTCGTCCGTCAAGTAGCACAATTACACTGTAATGCCGTCTATATGTATATCTAATTCAATATCCTGATTTGGCGCCTTGAGGCCCATGCAGGTTTTTATCGGAAGATATGTACTTTAAGTAGCATGGCACAATTTGACGTTATGATCACACACACTTAAATTTCATTCGCAGATACCACTCGAGGTTAACCCTTGCGGCGTATAACCTCTTCCGTACATACCCACCACAGAGAAAAGTGTGAAATACATGTGGCTATCCGAGTGTGCTTTCATCATCCCACAAATATAATATCACCGCGAGAGAGAGTGGTGTGTGGGCCTGGCTGGATTCAGACCAGCTTTCTCCTGTCTCGCATGGGGTAGGTGTTTAAGCTATCCAGTATCTACTGGGGATAACGGCCCGGATGGTGTACCACTGCACCATCCAACCCGTCGTCTATATGTAGCCGTGATAATTAGCCTGTTTCGTTTGTGAATCTTGATAGGATCTACATAGTCACGGGCTAATCAGATTTTGGATGTACGGCCCATAGGCAAACTGCTAATGCCTTATGATCTCACACGATTAGATCACATAGTCATAAGAGCAGATCTCACTGGAGCTGAGGGGTAAAAGCGTATTGATGTATATAGGCGCATAGATACCCTACATTTGGAGGATATAGAATTCACGTATTAGTCTCAAGCTTTATTTATTTTTTATGTCTACCCGGCACTAGTTACAACTAAAGCCCCATCCCTGAGGGGACATGGTGACTACGTCTCAAGCTTTACACAAGATCCATTGTGGTTAGGAGCCACGAGACACCACGTGATAACCTTTCATTCTTACACACACCCCGCCACTTACCAAGTACATAAGGCGAAGTCAGCCGTGGGATAGCCGCTCCCAGGAGCCAATATCCCGTCTCAAAATCAGCACGCTCGACGAAAAACTTTTCCATTCCCTTCTCGAACTGGAGATCGCAGGGCTAGAAAACCTCCCCGTAAACTCAAAGCCTAATTCTCTAGATTTCTTCGCTAAAGGCATCTGTACGGCCCTCCAGAATGCCTATAGAGCATCTGCGCAGCGAGCCCTTGGAAAGGGGACCGGGCAACCTTGGTGGAACAACGACTGTAGAAACGCTGCACAGGCCTACCGAACGGCCAGAAGAAGCTCGGCTAATCAAAATGATATCACCGCCAGGAAAAAGCTACTGCGCGCTGCAGTACGCAGGGCAAAGCGAAAGTTTTTTCAGGACAAGATAAGTCATGCCAATACAGCAAAAGACGTGTTTGGGATCGTTAACTGGCACCGAACAGTAGGATCCTTTCGCACCCCACCTCTCAAAGATCCAACCAACCCCGGTGCCTCACCTGCAAACACACTTCAAGACAAGCGAGAAGTACTAGTTCGGAACCTATTGCGAAATGCCTCTGATGCAATAGATGTTCCATTAGATACACCATCAGTCGGCGTCACTAGCCTTCCTTTCCCAGACCTAACCCTGACCGAAATCAAGGACTCGGTCATTAGATCAGGCAATACGGCACCCGGGGAGGACGAAATTCCAACGGCAATCCTAAAAATTGGCTGGCCACTAATCGAAACTCGGGTCTGCGATCTTTTTAGAGGCTGCCTCCAGGCTGGACACCACCCTGCTTGCTTCAAGACCGCTGTGCTGGTTATGTTAAACAAGCCCAACAAGACAGATAGATCTAGCCCACGCTCATACCGACCCATTGCTCTCCTTTCGACCCTGGGGAAAGGCCTTGAACGAGTGATCGCCCGCCGCCTCTCTTGGACAGCTATCAGAGCAAAGATAACAGCCTCACAACACTTTGGTGCCCTCCCTCTCCGCTCGGCCACAGATTTGACGACCTGTCTAGTACATGACATCGAAACAGCACTGAATAGTAAGCTCACTGCCTCCCTCCTGACGCTTGATGTGAGGGGTGCTTTTGATAGCGTACTTCCTGGCCGACTAGTCCATCGACTTAGGGACCAAGGATGGCCTGATAATTTGGTAAAGTGGGTGGCCTCTTTCGCCTCCAATCGCGTAGCCAAGATTCGTCTAGATGGCTCTACCGGTCCCGAATTTGATGTCTCCTGTGGCCTCCCACAAGGCTCGCCAGCATCACCTATTCTGTTCATGCTATATCTTGCACCTCTTCTCCACATGGGAACCGCCAAAACAAGATTTGGATACGCAGACGATATCGCCTTCCTTCACACCTCTCCATCCCTCCAGGAAAATTCCGAATCTCTTTCACTCAGCCTCCAGGAAGCCATGGAATGGGGCATAGAGCAGGGCTTGAAATTTGACGAAGACAAGTATGAGCTTTAACATTTCTCTCGCCGTCGACTCGACCAACAACCCACAAATACTCCCATGGTAAGTGCTGGCGCTATTACCGTCTCTGAAAATACTACTCGCCCATACACTCGCTGGCTTGGAGTACTCTTTGATAAAAAGCTCTCCTTTAAGTGGCACGCTCAAACCCTCGCCTCAAAGGCCCTCAAGGTTAGCCATGCTCTGTCATCCCTTGGTAATACAACAAGAGGGGCTCCTCCTCATCTACTGCGTCGTGCAGTAGATTCATGTGTCCTCCCCATCGTTTACTACGCCTCAGAATCCTGGTGGCCAGGCAGATCTAGACAAGGACCCACGGGACGCATATCAAACCGTGTAGATTCCCTACTACAACAGCTCTCCAAGGTCGTGCTTGCCTCTGCCCGCGCGACACTTCCAGTGTATCGCACCACACCAACAGCGATACTTCATCGCGAATCAGGGCTACAGCAGCCGGAAATAGCCCTTGATGGCCGTGCACTTGCAGCCACCGTCCAACTACGCCGTCTGGATCCTCGACACCCGCTCTTACGCCGTGCTAACAGAGTTCTCAGCTCACAGCGTGCTACCTCTCGATTTGCCCGACGTGTACTTTCACTCCCCAGATCAGAGCAAATCAATGCAATCGCTATTCCTCCTTGGAATCCACGTGAGAGCCGTGAAGCTGCACAATCTCGGGTGGCTGGTTCGAACAGTACCACTACAGAGGAAAACAAACAGTCCTTCCTTGACTTTCTTACGACCATCCCCTTCGGAGACATCATTATCTACTCGGATGGCTCTAAGCAACTAAACGGCTTGAGCGGCGCTGGCTTCATCGGATACCAAGGAGGCGTACAAGTCTTGCATCAAAGTCTTGCCCTTGGAAAAGGCGTCGAAGTTTTCGATGCGGAAGTAAAAGGTGCCCTAGAGGGGGCAAAGTCCGCACTAGCACTCCCAACTGCCAAATTCGCGACAGATCTATGGATTTGTCTAGATAATCTGGAAGTTGCCACTCGACTGTTATTCCCCTTTTCAGGGTCCTCACAAGCGCAATTTGACGAGTTCCTCACCTTAAATCCCAAATGGCAAGACCGCTCATGGCTGGCCCACACTAGACGGGGCCAAATCCGGGTCCGATGGGTCCCGAGTCACGCATCGATAGTTGGAAATGAAGCTGCGGACAAAGCAGCGAAAGATGGCTGCCAGTTACCAACTCCAGATGACCTCGCTTTCATATATGCGGGGCTAAAGTGCTGGGCAAAAGAGTCAACAACGCAGGCCTCTCGCAACCTCTGGAGAAATCTCCTTCCCCAGCACCTAGGCTACGAAAAGCTAGGAATAATATCAGCACCCACTAGGCCAAAAGAACTTGCCCTTCCGCGCGCCACTCTAGGTCGAATTCTAGCAGCTAGATCTGGGCACGGCGACTTCGCTGACTATCACGAGCGGTTCAATCATGAAAATGCATCAAATTACTACCGATGTGGCCGTCGTAAGGCCCCACTACATTGCTTTTTCTATCATATAGCGAAAAGAAGATCACGACCAATGCAGGGTCCGCCTTCGGAAATGATCCCGTTCATTCATGGCACATATGAAGGAGGTCAAAGATTTGGAGAATGGCTACAGGAAACCCGATTCTTCACAGATATCTGCCCATAATCTTGAGGTTTCAAGTGTCGCGAAAAACCAGCAAACGAAGGAAGGAAGATAAGCAATTTAGACTCCTTTTTTTTCTAATTTATTTTTCCGGTAGTGGAGGTCAACAGGGAGTGTGGGTTGACCTGCGCAGAGAATGGCGCCGAGCAAGTATCTTACCACCACAAATAAGAGCCTAACAAACTGCGGGAAGTAGCTATGTGAATGCACCTCCTTTATATGTCAAATAGTTTAATTTTGTTTTTTTGCTTTCCTTTAAAACATGTAGAAGCCCAGAGATTAAATCCTGGCGTCTTTTGTCTCAGTAGGGACTTAATAGGGTTACTCGCTTGACGCGTGATCCGCCAGACGTTAAATAAAGATAAATAAATAAATAAACAGGCGAAGTCAGAAATCCCATATCACGTGATTTGGGTATAAACAATTATCTAGCTAGTACACCTAATATAATCTACATGCAAGCTCGCAATGAACTGGAAAAGAAGATCACGCGGTCAAAATACGACGCCTGGGAA